TTCAATATTTGAAATTCAACAAAGTTGAAGTGTACGTACACTTGAGCAGCAAGTGCAGACACACCGTCAAGTGTTCAGGTGTATGTACACCTCAGTTTGAAGTGCATTTAAATAAAAAAGAAATCTGGAAAATTAAGAATTAAAATAATTTAAATAATTTAACTATTAAAACAATTAAAATAAATAAAATAAGTACAATAACTGAAAAAAACAAAACAATTGAAGGAATTAAAAGAAAAGAATTAAAAGAATTAAATGAATTAAAAGAATTAAAAGAATTAAAGAAAAGAATTAAAGGAATTAAAAGAATTTAAAGAATTTAAAGAATTCAAAGAATTAAAAAATTAAGAGAATAAATAATTATAAATGATCTTAATAACTTCTTTTGAAAATAAGAAACAAATTTTGTTTTCACTTTTAATTTTCTTTTTTTAAAGTTAAAAATGAAAACTTTTGCAATTAAAAAAAAAAATATCTTTTGAAAAGATTAAAACAAATAAAGAAGCTTTTTAAAAAGATCAAAAAGACAAAAGAATCTTTTTAAAAATGAAAAAGAAAAAAAGAAAAAGAATCATTTTAAAAATCAAAAAAGTATCTTTTTAGAGAATTAAAAAAGGAGAAAAATATTTTTTAAGAAATAAAAATTCCTTTTTTAAATTAAAAGAGGCAAAAGGGCCTTTAAAAAAAGAAAAACCGAATCTTTTTTAAAAATAAAAAAGAAAAAAAGGATTCTTCTAAAACCAAAAAAGAAAAAGCAAATCTTTTTAAAAACTAAAAAGAAATGAAAGAACTTCTTCTTGAAAAGCTAAAAAGAGAAAAAATAATTCTTTTTAAAAAGTCAAAAAGAAACAAAAGAGTCTCTTTTTGGAGAAGTAAAAAAAGCAAAAAAGTTTATTTTTAAAAAATCAAAAAGTCTCAAAAGAGAATCTTTTTAAAAGATCCAAAGAGACAAAAAGTCTTCTTTTATTCTTTTAAAAATGTTCTTTTTTGTCTCTTTTTAAAGAATTCAAAAAGATGAAAAGATTCTTTTTTTGAGAATTAAAGGAAGACAAAAGTTTCTTTTTTTTGAGGATTGAAGAGATAAAATGTTTCTCTTTTTGGACAATCAAAAAAGACAAAAAGTCTCTATTTTTGGAAAATTAAAAAAGAATAAAAGTTTTTCTTTTTTGAGAATTAAAAGAGATAAAAAGCTCCATTTTTGCAGAATTAAAAAAGTCAAAGGAGCTTCTTTTGGGTCTTTTAAAAAGACAAAAGTGTTTTTTTGAAAGACTAAAAAGAGCCGAAAAGTCTCTTTTTTGGAAAGTTAAAAAGAGACAAAAAGTCTTTTTTTAGAAAGCTAAAAAGAAACAAAAAGTCTCTATTTTGCTGTTTAAAAGCAACTCTCTTGTCCTTTTTGGTGAATTAGAAAAAGACAAAAAGTGTCTTTTTGGTCTTTTAAAAAGAAACAGAAAGTCCCTTTTTAAAAGACTCAAAATGCAGAAAAGAGTCTTCTTTTAATTTTGAAAAAAAGACAAAAGTCCCTCTTTAAAATTGAAAGAAACAACTCTATTTGGGATTTTAAAAGAGACAAAAGTCTCCTTGTAAAGAAACAAATATGTTCAAATATTCTTTAGTCTTTTGTTCTCTTTTTGCAATTCAAGGAAGAATTAAAAGCATTAAAAGAGTCTTTTTGCTTCTAATCTTTTTTAAACTCCAAAAAGGGAATCAAAAGACTAAAAGGAATCTTTTTTATTCTTCAAATTCTTTTTTTGAAATAAAAAAGAACTCGAAGACCAAAAGAACCTTTTCATTCTTTTAATTCTTTTTTTGAAATTAAAACAGAATAAAAGAACAAAAAGACTCGTCTTCGTGCAAGATTAAATATCTTTTTATTCTTTTTGGAATTAAAAAGAATAAAAAGATTCTTTTTTGTTCAAGATTAAACCTCAACTTCTTACAAGTTCCAGAAGCATAAAGTTTGCATTTAGATTTCTTTTTATTCTTTTTGAATTAAAAAGAACAAAAAGACTCCTTCGTTTGGGACTAAACCTCAACTTCTCGGGACACTTTTTTCCTTCTTTTAGTTCTTTTTTGGAATTAAAAAGAACTAAAAGATTCTTTTTTTCAAAGATTAAATCTCAACTTCTTGTAAGCTTCATAATCATAAAGTTCACATTCAACTTTCTTTTTATTAAATTTTCTATTCGGCAGAATTCGCAGCGCCCGGTTCGCCTCTGTACGTACACCCCAAATAACAACACAATTCGCCATTTAATTTAATTTAATTCAATTTAATTTAATTTAATTTAAATCAATTTAACTTAATTAATTTAATTTGATTTAATTCAGTTTAATTTGTTTTAATTTAATTTGATTAAATTTAATTTAATTTTGCTTTGTCTTGCCTTTTCCGCATTTGGGTTTGTTTAATTATATTTATTTTAATTTATTTTTATTCAGTTGCATTTTTCCATTTGTTTTCGTTATTTTAATTATCTTCATTTATATCTGTTTACTTCTGCCAACATTTATTTTTTATTTATTTTTATTTCTCTCCATTTATTTCCATTTATTTTCATGCATTTCTCTTTATTCATTTATTTCTTTACTTTTATTTTTATTCACTGTTTTTCATTTTATTCTTAATTTATTTATTTGCGATTGATTTAACCTGGTCCTCGCCGCCGAAACCCCAAACCCTAAACCCTAAACCCTAAACCCTAAACCCTAAACCCTAAACCCTAAATTAGGGTTTACCTTCGGGAAGCGTGAAGAGCGCGAAGACGCGGACCTCCTTCGTGGCCTCAACTATATGCACTCTTACTTCTCTCACGCGGCCGTACTTTTTGCATTGTTCCAAAATCTGAAAATAAAATAAATTAATTCTTTTTAAATCGAAAATAAAAATTAATTCTTTTTGTTTTTAAATCTGAAAATATAAATTAATTCTGTTTCTCTCTGAATGTGAAAATAAAAATGATTCTTTTTGTTTTTTAATCTGAAAATAAAAATGAATTAACGCTTCTTGTTTTTAAATTTGAAAATAAAAAACGAAATTATTCCTTTATTTCAATCTGAAAAGAAAGAATTAATTCCTTTTAAACTTGGAAAACAAAAAAAAATACAACTGAAATAAATAAATACAGGGCCAACAGTTAAATAAACTAAAATATAAAAAATAAATAAACAATAAACAAATAGATAATAAACAAAATAATAATAAAATAATAAATAAATAATAAACAAATAACACAAAAACAAATAAACAAATAAGATCTAAATAAAAAGAAAAATGCAAAAAATGAAAAAATAAAAACTGGGAATTACCAAAAGAGAATTGTGGGGTTTTTGGGGTCCAAAAGCTCGGAAAAAAACCGGAAAAAGAAAACGAAAGAAAAGAAAAGAAAGAGAATTAAAAGGGGATCAAAAAGTGGAAAAAAAAAACGAAAAAGAATTCAAAAAAAGAAAAAGAAATCCAAAAAAAGAAAAAAAATAAATTCAATTTCACCTCCTGCTGCAGCTGTTCGTCCACTTCTTCCGCCGGCAGCAAATTTTTCAAAACAATCAAAGACGAAGGCCTTTGCCCGTTTTGCTTGTCTAGGCAAACACTGAGTCTTTTATCTGAATAAAAAAACAAAAAAACATTTAAAAAAATAAATAAATAATCAAATTAATTAATTTATTTTAATTTATTCAAAATCCTCTTCTTTTTTGGAGTTGATTGGACAAAAAACGAAAATAAATGGACTTTTGTAAAACGGCCTTTGCCCGTTTTGTCTTTTATGCGAAAATAAATAAATAAATAAATAAATAAATAATAAATAAATAAATAAATAAATAAATAAATAAAATAATAAACAAATAAATAGTAAGGAGATAATAAATAAATAAATGATGGATTAATTAATTAATTAGTTGTCATTTAATATTTGTTTTGAGTTGATTGGCAAAATAATAAAGGAGACAAAAAAAGAACAAAAAATAAAATTAAAAGAAATTAAAAAAATAAATAAAAAGAATTAAGGCAATTAAGTAAACAACAACAAGAAATAAAATGAAATAAAAAGAAATAAAAAAGAATTAAAGGAATCCTGAAGGGAATTAAAAAAAGAATTAAACGGAATTAAAAGGAAAAAAAGAACTAAATGCAATTAAAAGAATTATTAGGATTAAAAAGAATTAAATTAATTAAATTAATTTAATTAATTTAATTAATTAAACAAATTAATTAAATTAATTAAACCAACTTGCTACAAGAAAGCCATCCATGGTATTAATGGCTTTTGCTGCATCTTCTTTTTGATAAAAATGAATTAATTAAAAACAAGTAAAACAATTAAAACAATTAAATTAATTAAATTAATTAAATTAATTAAATTAATTAAATTAAATTAATTAAATTAATTAAATGAATTAAATGAATTAAATGAATTAAATTAATTAAAAGAATTAAATAAAACTAACTTGCTACAAGAAAGCCATCCATGGTACTAATGGCTCTTGCTGCATCTTCTTTTTGATAAAAATGAATTAAAACTTCTCCCAAATGCGAAAACAAATTTATTGCCATTATAGGCCCAAACACTTCCATTATTTGCTGCACACAAACACAAACAAACCTGCTGCTGCTGCTGCTGCTGCTGCTGCTGCTGCTGCTGCTGCTGCTAGTGCTGCTGCTGCTGTTGCTGCTGATGGTGCTGGTGCTGATGCTGTGACAGCAGCAACAACTGCTGCTGCTGCTGCTGAAATAACAACATGAGCTGCTGCTGCTGCTGCTGCAGCAACACGTGCTGCAGCAGCAGCAGCAACTACTGCTGCTGCTGCTGCTGCTGCTGCTGCTGCTGCTGCTGCTTACTTTAACATCTTCTTCAGCAAAGTTTTCTGGGAGATTTGTGACGCGGACAACTCGGCCTTGGTTTATTATGTCGTCGGGGTGAGAGGCCTGAATGGCTTCTGCAGTTCAAATAAATAAATAAATAAATAAATAAATAAATAAACAAATAAATAAATAAATAAATAAA